CCGGGCCGGGCCCGCCGGGCGGGCGGCAGCGGGAGCCGGGCCCCTCGGGAGAAGCAGCTCTACCCCCAGCACTAGCACCCCTGAGGGGCAGGAGAGGCGCGCACCCAGCCCCGCTCACAGCCACTCCCCCGGCAGAGCCGCAGGCAGCGCCCGGGCGGCTTTATGGAAAAAGGATTCATTTCACTGATTAACGGCACCGGGCCGGGGGTTTTGTTGTTTTGCAGTCATTAGAGGTTAAGAAAGCTGTTTGCTTTACCAGCTGCAGCCTAGAATGCTAATTACAGCACTTGTCCCCGTCACGTGACAGCACATAACGAAGTCTCTTCCTAAAGTTTCCGGCTGTCAAAAGCCTGGACAAAGAGGAGCCCGGGCCCTGTGGCGCCCGCCAGACCCGCGCAGCTCCAAGCCGCAGCCTGTGAGAGGCTCCTGGCCCTGCTCCGGGCCCTGCTCCGGGCTATCCCAGCCGTGCGGCCCGGCCGCGGCTCCAGGGCGGCCCTGCCCACATCCCTGGGCTGGCAAAGGAAAAGCCCCGGCACTCCCCCAGCCCAAGGGCCGGTGGTTTCCGTGCGCTCCGGCTGGAGAGTAACCGGGGCAGTAACCTCGGGAATCTGTCCTAACAGGCAGGCACACAAGAGCCAGTACCGGCTATTTCACCAGCAAGGACTCTCTAGAAAGAGGGGTCAGTTTCCTCAAGAGGTGGTCCTGTAATGGAGGAGTTTTAAATTTGTGAATGACTTTTTACTAACCCTTCCACAAGTGACAAACACCTGCTATTCCCACAAGAGGGTGCTTAATTCCTCCTGGAAACCCGGGTGTGCCAAAAAGCTCCACTAAACAGAGGCTAACAGCACTTAGGGTATTTAGGCTTGAGTAAATCCGACCTGGACCAAAATGCACCCATTTTCCACCTCTAGATCAATGCCCCTTCAATTGTGTACTGATAAATGTTGACCCTGAGAGGAACTTGAATGGGCTTAGGCCTAGCAAAACAAACCCGCATCATACAGCACATCCAAAAAATATTTAATAAACTTTTAAACGGCAAAAGAAGCAGCCTACCAGAGCCAGGTAAATATACTGAGAAAGTTTTTATTAGAAGATATATTTCTGCCAAAATAAATAGTTACATTTTCTTCAGCAAAACATTAGAAAATAGAAACAGGAGGGGAAAAAAAAGCATCAACAATTTAATACTGAACTTTTAAAGTGACTGTGAACACTACTTAGTGACATTGCTATGTAAATACATAACTTGTGTATGCTATTGCTGGTCTAGTTGCTGCTCTGACACCAGTAATTTCCACAGGACCTCCACATACGTTGTGTGCTTAAGGGTCTTCTAAAACTCAGTGGCAGCAGTGGAGTCCCAGGACACACAAAGCTCAAAGAGCTGCTTTGGATGCTGTTTTCAAGAACAAGAGAAAATCCCAGAAGTGAGAGGTATTTATTTCAAAGATATATTTCCAAGTCTTCTGTTTGTAACTAGAGTTTCATCCTCCCTGTGAAGGAGAGCTGATGTGGATCCACAGAGTGAGATGGATGCAGTTAGGTGCTGTCCTGGTGGAGCTGCCTGCAGGTTGGAAAAGGAGCAATGTCCCAGCAGCAGGCAAGGGGAAGGAGGGAGAGGAGAGGGGAGTGAGTCCTGCTGCAGTCAGAAAGGCAGACACCAGGAGGACAGGAGGCACAGCATGTGTTTGGCACAAACAAGCTGGCTGACATGGCAGCCAGGTGAGCTGGTCCATTCTCTCACCGATTTAAGGAGAAGACAAGATCAAAGCTTGAGAAAACCGTTGGCAAGGCCCTCTGACTTTGGCAGCCCTGCTAGCCACCCCAACCAGCATATGTTTAGTAGGAATGGACCCCCCCTAAAGGAATAAACACACACAGAGTTTCAGCTATTTCTCCCACAACCACTTTGGTGAAAGTGAAAGCTCTTTTCTCTGAGGAAGGAGTGAATTATTTGATAATTTTTATAAATTAATAAAACCACTGGGGAATATAAAAGTACTAGGAACACCCCAGTGCCAGCAGACAGCAGATTCTCTTTTATCCTCTGATCTGAGTATTGCAGGTACACAGCCATCCAAGAAGCCATGAGGAAACAATTCCTAGGTCCTATACATAGTGGTCAGTATTTTCTCCTAGCCCTTGAAAATCAGCTTGCAACAATTAGCAGTAGGGCAGGCAGCAAACCAAACCAATTACACTACACACTAATTGTGGGTTACAGAGCATGCCATAGGCACGGACTGTTGTACACAAAACAACTCTACAGTGTTGTACAGGTTAGGGGCTGGTTAGATGCATAAGGTCACCATTAGCCTTGTTACAAGCAGCAAATAATAACACAGGAAGGAGAAAAAAAAGTAGATTCCTGAATGCACAGACCCTTTATGTGAAACAGTGGAAATGGCAAGGGTTGGGACTCCTGGAGTGCAGGAATCCAGCAAATGCTGTAAGGACTGTTGGACATGGATACGAGATGAATTTTTGTCCAGGAACAGGAATTTTTGTCTCACTCACCATACACTGGAGAGCAGACAGGCCCCTGCTGGGCTGCCCAGCCACACATTCTGGAGAAGAAGGGACTGACAGCCACAGGTGACCTTGCTCCTACGGACTTGGCAAGTGGGGGCCCAGTGGACAGCAGTGGCTGTCCAGAAGGTAGCTTTGCATGCCATGATGTACACACAGAACAAGGGGCTGAACAGTTCCAGTGAGCACTATCACTATAAAACTTTCAATATCCAATCCAGAGCCAATCACAAGGTTTCCAGATATTTCAAAAAGAGTGGGGTCTCAACTAGACAAGGCAGCACTGCATAACAAAAAGCCACTCACAAGCTGACACAGCCCTTTTTCTACATCAGTGGGAAAGGTGATCTTCCCTAATTCCTTCATTCTTTGCAATCTGTGATGAGCAGCAAGAATTTCAAGCAAATGGGTTAAACTTTTCAAAAGGAAAATTAGGCTACTTTGAGGTATTTTTGACAGATCTGCAGTTCCTTTATCAGAGCTCAAATCTATAAAGCCAACAAGCTATCACACAATAGCCATTGTAAAACTTGGGGAATAAAAACAGGCAAAGAGTTAATACAGAGTGGTGCTTTCCCAGTATCTATTCACACCCTGCAAATTAGCATAGGAAAACCAGCAATTTCCTTGTGAAGAGTTAGACCTTTATTTTTAAAGCCAGGCTTTGATTTGTGGTTATAGTTTGAAGTGTACAAAAAGTTTCTCATTGAGAAGTTAATACAAGAAATTAAACTACAGATGAGGTGAAACACAGAACAAAACTCGGGCCTTTTACCAGGCACAGCTGTTGGTCTCTTGAAATGCATGAACCAGAATCCCCAGCCCTTGTGGATCCACTGGAAGACAATGGCATCAGTCCAGTCGGCAACACACCAGTCAGTTCTGATGCAAAAGGCAAGGGATAAGGGTGCCAAGCTGCAACTTCTTAGCACACTCTATTGCCAAGAGCATTTTGTTTCATAGTTTAGTGGTTTACATAATCACTCAGTGGTTTTACCAGTCCAGGAAAAAGGGATAAAAAAATACTTGCATAATTTTTCTCCACCCATATATTAACTAAAAAAAAATAATAAAAAAAATAAAATAAAAAATAAAATAAAAGGCAGAGTCAAAAGGGCAGCAGCTTCTAAACACAAGATTTTCCTTATGCAGTTTTGCCTCTCTCAGATGTTTTGCTTCTGGATAAAATGCCTTTATTTCTTGCCACTAACATATCAAACTACAAAATTAACGCCTTTTCTCAGTTCCAATTTTCATCAATTCATCCTGCCCCCACTAAGTGACAGTAGATTGTTGCTGGTTCACTTCCACTAGCACCTAGCATTTTTTTTCTGTGGGCTTTAAACAATCACAAGATTGACTTGTTTTGTAACTGAATGTTCTATACTGATTTCAGAATCCTCCCATTTTTCTCTTCCTGTAGTGACTTCCCTGTTCCCTAACTGACTTAATTATGCAAAGCTTAAGACTAAATCTGACTGCATAAGTGCAGGCCTGCTTTGTAAGATACACAGGCCCTTGTGTTATATAGATCTAAGTTACATCCAGTGAGAGCAGTGGGGTGACAATCTAAGTCACAAGTTCATTCTTGCACTGGCATCTCCTGGGCAGAGACCCACTCCACTGCCTCCCAGCTTGGCACAGCCACTGCAGGAAAGTCCTGATGCTTATCAGTCTCCACACAAACACCAAACCCATGCCTAGTGCACAACTGTGCTTGTAGGAAACAGCACCCACCCCATCACCCACATTGCTCAAGAAGATTTACTGCTTTTTCCAGTTATTAGCACAACTTCTGGGTTTATTTTCCCTAAATCTAAGGCGCAAAACAGAGTCTATTAAAAATCACTATGCCATGTATAGGCTACATAATCAGCTTCAGATACCCTGTCCTGCTCCCCAGCAAAGACAGCATATGTTTGCTTTGGCCATTGCACACTCTTGGTGCTAGGAGAGGTAGAAGACGCCTCAAGTAGCAAGACAAGCAGCAGAAAAAGGTACCAGGAGCTGGGTTTGTCAGAGTGTGAAGACCTAAGCTAAAATCCACGCAATCCCCACAGGAAGCCATGTTTCACCCTGTGAAGAACAGGGAATTCATACTTCTCACACAAGCCACAGCCAGATCACTGCTGAGCAGGCAGTGCCTCCTTGCTCTGCTACAGACCCACTAGCTCTGGTCTTTTAAGGAGCAAGACAAAAAGGAGCCAGTTCCAAGTGGCTGCACGTGCATCAACAATCTTCACTTCTCATGCTCCCCCTAGCTGCAGACAGGACCTGTGAGCAACAACATGAGACAGGCAAGCTGTGATGCTTATGTAGCTCCAAGCCTAAATCCTTCTCACTCCAAAGCCTCAACAACCAAACTTTCTGACCAAAAGAGAGATAGAAGCCTCAGTTTGGCAGGAGATCCATTCTGTATCACCCACTTGGAATTTGCCTCAATTTTACAGCCCCTTAAGGAGCAAAGCCCAACTGACCCCTGTCAGAGACAGCCACTTCCCCAGCACTTGCTGTGACACTCCACCACAAACCTCTGAAAAATAACATTCCCTGCACCATTCTCATCTTCCTACATGTACTTCATATTGCTTCAGCTGCTAAGATGATCCCGAGATAGCCTGGCTGAGCTTTTTTCAGGGCAACCCCACACCAATTCCATTCACAGCCAGGAATAGAACCTCAAATTCAGCATGTTTCCCTGGAAAAAAAATCTGTCAGAATTATTTCTTTAAATAAGCTCAATCACTTAACACTCAGAATTCAAGTCACAGCAGTTCCCTGAGGACCCCAATCAAGAAGGGAGAGACCAAGACAACATGAATTAGGGGAAATACATAAATTTTCTACACTTCTGCAGTTCCAGTGTAGTCTGCTGCAGGACCAGCTCCAGCTTCCAGTGTGGACACAATTGAGGGAGAGAGGAAAGGACATGGTTTCAGCAAAGAAGAAAGTCAAGAGGAGATTTGAAACCCATGAGAAAAATTGGTTTGGCAAGAGGCTACCTCATCTTTCAGTAGCACAAAGATCTAAGGGTTGACAAATGATTTAAGGAGAGGAATCAAGACACATGCTCTGAAAAACCAAAGGAGGTAAAAGCTGTATGAACTTGAGAGCGTCATCTACATCCTGGTTATTTGGCGGTAAAAAGCCAGTGGCAATTCAAAGTGCACTACTTGGGAGAGCCCAGCTGGGTCAGCATCAGCCTGGCCACAGGCAATGGCCACGCCTCACCACAAGTCTAGAGCAAGGAATCAGCCTGTGTGTGTGAACACAAAGGTCCCTTGCTTGGCCCAGTGGGCAACAAATGGCTACAGTCAATTCCACCAGTCTCCATCCCGGGGAAATCCCCTTTGCAGCATATTCAGGAGCACAGGGCAGCCTGCTGCTGAGGGATGAGACTGGTCCCACCCTTTGTCCATTCCCCTTCCCACCCACCCTCATCCCCCGACAGCGGCAGGCTCAGAAGAGTGGCAGGCACTCTTTTGCACAGCCTAGAGGTGGAAGCTTTAACTGAAACCCTTCCCGAGGGAAGAGGGAGGCTTGCATGTCCACGTTGATGCAGAGCAAGCCCAGCATGAGCTGGCGCTGGTACTCCTCCCACTTCATCATGACATCAGAAACCGAGCGGTTGCTTCTCATCCACATGGGCAGCGCTTCACCACAAGGTGGCGGGGGAGAAATTGGCAGCTTCTGGGGCCCTCCGAGCTCGAGGTGGTAGTAAAGCCTGAAATACATGCAAAGACTCAGTACATGGGAAGACTTGAGCAGGTCACCAGACTAGAGCTGCAGTACCACAGTCTTGTTTTGTACTAAATTGACTACATGACTTTAGTGAGAAGTCTCAGTGTGCTCAGTTTTCTCCCTCACATCTCTCAGTTATTCAGACCATGAACTCTTTTGGGTAAGAATCACACCTCTGTACTAGAATCAAATCACAGCTGCGACCCCCTGACTACTACTGTGAGAGTTTCCTATTCTCATCCAGACAGCAGTCTTGCCACAGCCTCAAGCCAGGGGCTATTGCAGGAGTTCAGTCAGAAGCACAGGCACACACACACAGGCCCAGACAACTCAAATCTCATTTGGAAACTCTCTTGTGTTCCCTGGCCACCATATTCCCTCCCCAAAAACCAGGCTGAGATATTCAGGTAGAGGAGGTCATTTGAACACAAGTACTTCTTGGAAAGCACTTTCAGGGGGTCCTGGGCCAGAAAATGCCACAAAGACAAACACCTCTGTCTTCTATATGGAGCATGAAATAAGCTGGCATACTGTTTTAATCAGACTTCTAACCTACTGCTACAGTGACAGCTCCATTACAGGGTCTGCCCTATAATAGGGCAAAGGAAGGGAACCATGTGCTGAGTCTATCCAACAGCTGAGGAAGCCAAGAAACAACGAACCAAATTTGCATTTCAGTGCAAGAGGTAAATCCTTCCAGTCAATTTGTGCCTTATTTGCTCTGCTCTAGAGACTAGAGTCTCTAGAATTCAAAGGTGTAAGGGGAAATGAAGGGCTCCTACAGAACACTGCTGTGAAGAAAAGCGGCCATACCTGGCTGAAAGATGGCTGCCCAGTTTCTTCTTGGCTTTCTTCACAAGATAGTTGCAGATTTCTGTCATCTGCTCCCTCATCCATCTTATATCCTCAGGGATATCTGGGAGCCATTCCAGCAACCTGTACAGACACAGGAGACAATCATTAGCTGGGCCATGCAAGGGAATACGATGAAAAGAACACCAGTGACATCTTCAAGTCTCTCTTTGTTTGGTTTTTTTATTCATGTCTGGTAATTGTCAGGAGCAACTTCTCCAGGAAAACACGCAGTGCAGAATTAAGAGAGAATCCCACTCTCTGTCCATTCAAACACTACAGCTACATCAAATATTTGTCTGCGCTGGGAAGAGCAGCACTGAGGGACCAGCCCAAGGCTTACCTGACAGTGAAGGAAACTGCAGACTCCAGAGGCAGCATGTAGGGGACCATCATGGCTGTGGCCACACGCACAGGCAGCATATTGCTGAGGCCAGTCAAGAAATTTCTTCTTTCAGCACAGGCCTCCATGAGAGCTGAAGGCAGAAGAAAACATGGTTGAATATCCCCAGTGGGACTCTTTTTTCTCATCATACCTCAGAAGTTACTCAGCCTGAGGCAGCTACCTCCCACTTCTTAGGAAGTCTTGCTCAGGTTAGTAATTCCTGTGCACAGCCAAAACCAGCAGCTTTCACCTTTATCAGACTCTAAAGGTGTGAGCATCAAGACCCCCTCCCCGCCTTACCCTGCAGAGCCCTGTCAAATGAATCAAGCTCTCCCAGTCCAGCCCCCACAGTATGAACTACGACTTTATCTGAGACCCCAATACATCTAACCTGCAAGAGGTCTCATTTCAATCCCAGCCATACACAATAACCATACATCCCAGTAATCTTCTGAGGCAGACCAGGCAGCATGGGAAGATTATCTGTGATCTCTCCCTTCGAATCATACCTTGGTTCAGTCTGGGAGGCAAGTGTTCAAAGATGTGCTCTTCAACAACAGCAAGGGCAGTGCTGTCCTCTAGTTGGTCCTCAGCTTCAGTTTCTTCCTCTTTCTTCTCTCCTGGAGGTGCTTCTATGGCAAGGAGAGGACGGGCAGGACTTGGACGGTTCAGGAGACCTGAGAAGAGAAGTTATACTGTAAGGATGACAGAAACCAGCTGCCCTGCCTGGCCTTTAGAGTTTTAGTCCTTGCTTCACCCTAACTCCCCTCAGGCTGAGGTCATGCCCAGCCTCTTTAGCTTACATCTCTTGTAATGCTCACCACAAGCAGATAAAACTTGCAGGCTTAAGTTCATTCTCTCCTTCCTCATCACAAGCTCTCCCCATTTCCCCTTTACGTTCTGCAGGGTGCTGTTTTGTAGAGTTTTGTTGCTATGATCTGCCAGTCACCCATCTTGCAGGCAAGATCTCCCTCCTGCAGTGCAATCCCACTTATCCCGGTCCGCATCACTGTTCATGGACACGAGGTGGCAGCAAGAGCACACCCAGCGCTGCAGGAGAGCAGCGCCCGAGTGTCCGGCAGTGGGGCTCTGAGGGCAGCACCACACAGACCCAGCTGCACATGGGGAGCTGCAGGGCGTCTGCAGGACGTCCAAATGGCACTGCTGCCCAGCAACTGTGTCGGTAACTGCAAAGGTCACCCCTCCACCTCTCCTCCCTGAAGGGCTGAAGTAGACTTATTAATGAGAATTCCATACCCTAGTATCTTAGGCACAGTTCAGCTCTTCCCTTCCTCCTTTCATATGCTCCATCAACTACTCTCAAAGCCAAGGCACCAAGCATGGCACAGAACAGGCAAGTCAGTGCACCCTGCAAATAGCCAGTGCCTTACCATTCTTCTTCAGGAAATGCAGTGCATCTCGATAGCCCTGCTTGCACATATCCCGCAGCACCTGTGGGCAGAGGAAGGAAAGCTTCATGTGGAATCTGGCTGAGCAAACACCTACCACAATGCTGGCTTCAGAGGAATTTTCTTGAATCCAGAGCTATCCCAAGAACAAGTCTCATTCCAGCCAGTCTTATTCAGGCTTTGAGCAGGAATGGGAGGTATAGCATCAATACATTTGCTATGGGAATCACAAGACAATTTAGATTGGAAGGGTCACCTAGAATCCTATTTAAGCATGGGCATAGAGTTGCAGCTACCTCATTGCCCCATCTGTAGCTGATGCTGCTGTGTGCTGCCTCCAGGCAGTCACTCTTGACAAGCAGCCCAGAATACTTCCCCCTGCAGATGCCAGGAAGGGCCATTGTGTTTGCAGATAAAGCCAGCTAAGACTAGAGGGGGAGTGGGAAAGAACTTGCCCAAGTAATTCAGTGCATGAATACATGCTTATTACGTCCAAGTGTCAGGGCTATCTGGCACTTGCATCTTCTCAGAAGTACACAAAGTTTGCAGTGCCACTTGCTACACTGACACAGTAGAAAGGCCTCATACTTGAAGCTCCATCCTTGCCTTGAAACACTGAAGTGCACATTGGCTCTGATGGCCAATACATCTTTATTTACAGTGAGCCTGATTTCCAGGCAAAGACTACTCTAGAGAGGGCAACATGAGAATACTTTCTAAGCAGCTGCTACTACCTAAATTTCAGATGTTCAAGTAGAAAAAGAAGACAAACCCTTGTGCAGGTGCTCAAGGTTTAGTGAGTCACTGGGTTGACGATGTCAAGATTAAAGACAAAGCACGAGATACAAAACTAAGTGTCCTGAATCTTCTCCTGCTAAAGTGCACACAGTATAGCCAGTGTCCAAGATCTGTGGTCCCCAAGTTCTGGTATGGCCAGGAAACTCACCTGTGGCTCCGGAGGAAACAGGGCCTTTGAGAGGCGGTAGAGGTTGCGAAGGTTGAATTGGATGCTGGTATTGGTGACTCTCAGCTCATGCATGTTTGTGGAACTGTCCCGTGGGCAGATATCGCTCTCTCCCGAGAAAGGAGACACCGTGATTGTGTTCTTCAGCTCATATTGGGGCAAATTGTCAGAAATCCCTCCATCAACATATCTCTGAAATCAAGACAAATGCAGAATCGTCATTCTCACAACTGATCGAGTAGCTTTTTTATTCTGTGTCCATTTTCCTTCCTGTTTGTGCCAACAACTTGGGAAGAGAATGGAATACATCCACCAGCATTGAAGGAGTAAAAACCCGTGATAGCACAGCTGTGATAACACAGAGCTGTGTTGTTTATAACAACCCCTTTTGCTGTGTGCTTTTTCTTCATTGAGTGAGCTGCTCACAAGAGTTGAGTAAGAAAGGCACATTCACTTGTGTGACTGCTGACTTACATCTCCTATGTGGTCTGACTGCTGTCCAATTAAATAATAACACACACCAACAACCACCTGCAGTGCAAATTAGCACTGATCTAAGCTGTCACACTGTGACATTGTGCCATTTTTCACTTGCGTTTTAAACAAATAAGCTCAGATACAAGTCCCCACTGGCAGGTTTGTTACCTATGAATAAAACCAGCTGATTTGTTGCTAGCGGGCTTATCCAGCAGGAATCCCAACACATGCATACACACTGGGAATCAACTTGCTGAGGTCTGATAACAGAGCACAAGGGACTTGGGTTTTCCTCCTAACAGGCACCCTCTTATCAGAGAATGTTCTGTACTTCTGTACCATAAACACATTTGCATTACCCTCGCAGGAAGGGCAACCCCAGCCCTTCTCAAAACATTCGTCAGATACTGTAATTGCACAAGAAGCTAAGCAAGATGATCATTATCACAGGTTTTAGCAGAGTGAGCAAAAGATAAAAGGAAAAGGATGTCAATCAAGCCAAAAGAGAATGAAGCTGGGGGTTTTTGCAAAGCAACAATTCCAGCTCTTGTGAACCTCAGTTACAGAAAAGTTCTGCTGGCTTTTTATCAGGGTTGATGCTGCAGTTTGCTGCCTGGATCCATTTCCTTCATACTCAAAGACAAATCACAGAGGGGCTATGCAGCCCCACAAGCAGCAACTGTAAACCTCTTTCAGCTCTCTGCTGGGTGAGAAGCTGATGAATGATGATTGAAGGAGGAAATGCTCCATTCTGCATCCTGCTTCCTGTTGTCTCACAGGCAGACTGACCACCAACATTGCTTTTTTGCTGCACAGTGCCTAGGAAAACACCAAAGATGTTGTCTGGAGGATGCTTTGCACTTTGTTCTCTCTTGCTCTGGATAGCAGACAAGACAGAGACCTCAAGCAGCTTCTCTGAGCCTGGGGAACAGTTCACAGGCTCATGGGCTGAAAGCAATTAAATTCAGCTATAGCAAGCCAGCTGCCATTGAGACAACAGAGTTAGGGTAGACTGTTGGAAACCAAGAAATAGAAACTTCTACAGATGCTGAAGGGTTCAATCTGCAGCCTTGGAAAGAGCTTGGATTAATGTAATGATGAAGGTACACAGACATTGGGTAGAGAAATTATAAACTTATGTTCCTATAGTTACAAGTAAGAATATGTCTTAAGTAGGTAAGAAATTATATTAGATAAAATAGTTTGAGGTTTAAGCTGTAATAGTGACTTATAGAATAGGCTAGAGATCCAAAAACTATAACAGAGATGTGCATGTGACCTGTCAGCTTATAGGCTAAGAGAGAGACACAGTACAGCAAAATTAAATACAGGTGATCGGTTAAATAAGTGAAAACAAGCTTTGTGTCAACTACCTATTTGGCTAAAATGTTCTTCTGTGTGAAGAAGAAACTTGTGTCTTCCTTGAGCTATGGCTGATTTGTTGCTCCTCTAAATCTCACGCCTTGAGACTGATACCTTATCTGGCTACTTGAGCAATAAATCATCTCAAAGAAAGGTGGTCCCATCCCTCGTTCTTCATCTCAACAGTGGACTGCACGGCAGTTTGCCTTCTTAGGAGGCAAGCTAAACCTCAGGGCTACCTTTTGCTACCTTACCTCCCAGCTTCATGGGAGATGGCTTGTGATTACAGTTGTAGGCTACAGCAGCCCAAACTGAGAGCACAGGACATTTTATCCTCATTGCAGCCCTTGCTCACCAAACACCATGTCAAGATAGGCACTTAGAGACTCCAACACCACCTGAACTTGGATAGTGAAGAAAGTGGAAGGATAGGATAGATTAAACTCAAGGATAAGTACATCCTCTCAGAAACAGTAACACAGCTTGCTCACAAGATGTTTTCCAATAACAGAGCTACCAACAGTCAACTGAACCCTCTCCCGCTTCTAAAGCGGGCGTCAGTGTTCCCTAAGCCTAAAGCAACCACAGTAAGCTGCCATTTTCATCCTCTTTCCAAAGCTGCTCCACTGACAGCCATACTAGGCACAGCTAGAGCTGGAGACATCCACCTGACTCCCTTTGCAAGGATGAGATTCCAACATGCTGAGTGGAACGAGAACAGACCAAAGCAGGCAGCGTGCACTTTGTTTAAAGAGAAAGGAGGTAAGATTCAGTGCTGGACAACATTAGTTTTACAGTAAGGATGCAGAAGACTCGTTTCCCTAAGGGTGGCAGCATGACTGCAGAGATGCCATCAGAAAAAAGGCTCAGCTACAACAGAGCTGACAGGCAAAGCCTTCTGACTCCATAGAAATACAGGAGTACACTTGCACACCCCACTCTCTGGTCCACTGATTCCCAGTAATACTGATTAACATTCCTCAGCAAACCTCAGCTGCCACTTCTTTGGATTTGCCTGAACCTCCAGTAACCCAACTGTAACCACTCTCCAGCCTCCTGCAAAGCCCAGAACAGCCCAAAGCCACAGGCTGGAGCCACCAGCTGCCTGCAGGCAGGAGCAACAGCAGCTTTAGGGGATGGTTCATAGACTGGGGTGCCCACTTCCATTCCCTTATCATGTCCTCCCATGCCACAGGGCCCCTCACTCATATGATTTGACAATCAGCTTTGTGGCCCTTGCCAGAGATTCATCTCATCCACATGCTGCAGACAATTCATAGCTATAGTGTGTGTTGACAGGTCAGTTACTGACTTTTCCATTTCTCAATATTTAAGTTGCTGGGTTTTTTTTAACTCCCCATCTCCATCATCCACTCCATAAGGATACCAGATCTCAGAGAAGCAAACACTGGAAAAAATTTAGGAGGAAGGCAAAATACAGATTTTGCACCTTGCACACAGTAACATTGCCTTGAAAACTAGTCCTTGTGCCAGGCCTGTCAGTTTATCCTGTGGTAAATACAGTCACCACAGGCATGCTAGGAAACATGCATTCCTGTTTCAAAACCATTTCCCAAGTGCATACCCAACCCAATTTAACCTCTCACCTCATCAGCAATCCCCCTTCAGAGCAATGCTTTTCTGGGGAAGAGGTAGGAATTAAATTTCCTCATCTCATATTTCCTCCCCACCTTTTCCCATGAGAAGTCATCCCTCAGTGTGCCATGGCAGCTGTACATTCCAGAAACCCTGATGTTGTACACAGTTTTGGAATTGTGAGATTTTTGCCTGATGCACACTGACCTCAATTATCCCCAAAGAGATGTAAGACAAGAGCCACTGCTATGGTCCCACCAGCTGAAGGGAAAAAGCCCTGCCTGCAGTTGCTGAGCAAATACCAAACCATTACTGATTCTGTCACTTCTCTGAAGGGCTGGATAACACTGGACATCTCCTCCAGGTCATTTTCCTGACCAACATGCTTGCACAAGACAAAACCAGCCAAGCTGTGTATTATGCAGGAACAAAACTGACCTCACTTTTAGGACACAGGTAGCAATCAGAGCAGATGTGATGCTGTGCTCTGACAGACTGAGACACTTTGGTCAGATCACTTATGGTAAATCTGGGTACATATTTCATAGCAGTTCTCCCTCTCACTTTTGACAGTGTAGTTCGCAAAACCCCTGCCTTTTAACATGTTCATTAAATTGTGTAGCATGAAAGAGGCCAAGCTCAACCAAGAGGCCCTTAAAGCATGACTGCAATATCAAGAAATGCTGCAGCTCTACACAGCTTTCACGTGTTTTCATTTCTAACATGCAAACACAGAGGGATAAATTGCTCTTGGACAGCCTTGCACACAATTAAAAGAAAGCTCTGGCATGCAGCAGAACGTTATTCTCAGAGAAAGGACAGGAAGAACTCCATGGAAAAGAGGGCCAGTATCCACAACACTAGTAGTTAAAGCCATGCAGAAAGTGTCAGGCACATGGGAGAGGGACTACACTCATGACTTTTATCCTGGGCCAACTCCTTTCCACAGACAGCTGGAGCCTCAGTGATGGAAAGTGTTGTACCATGCAGCCATGAGAACACTCTGCTAAGCCAGCCAGCCCTTTCCCAGACTGCTATGTATTACTATATGTTAAATCCACTGGTCTTTGGGACATTTATAGTCAATTGTGGGCAGCACTGGAAAGAAGGCCTATCCACTGCTGGAAGTTGTTTACTTGGGAATTTCTTGTGTCTCTTCAGGTAAGTGCTGCCAGCTGGCACACACTAACATTATCAAAACCTACTCATTAGTATGCAATTTAATGAAGGAACATCTTAGAATCTTACTTACCACTCCACGCAAGGTTGGAGGTATCAGCCCACAATAGACAGGGATAAAGGCGCTGCAGACACAGGCCTGAGGGAGAAAGAGATCCAGAATCTAAGAATCAGATCAAAGCCTACTGAAACTATTACTGTTCTCAGAACACCACGCTAGCATGTGCTGACAATTATACTCCAGTACTAAGGACATCTGGAGACCAAGGCAAAACAAAACAGCACACAGTTCCTGCCCAGTCCTCTGCAGTAAGAAGCCATTCACCTGGATCAGTTCCTCCCTGGAATTGAAGTCTGACAATATCACATTTTCTCCATCAGAGACCCGTGTCAGGGAAATACCCAAACGTCCTGCTGCAACCTCATGCCCATTCTCTGGCACCATCTTATACAGGCACATCCGAATGGTCTTCACCAAGTTGAAAGAGGGATGGAGTGGGCCCAAGAACCTCTTCCGGGCTTCTTTTGACGCACGAATAATGCTGGCACCAGCCTCACCTGCAACGAGAGAAAGACAAATGCACCATGAAACGCTACCAAACGCTTCTGCTTTACAAAACTAGGCACAGAAAAGTCTCATTCCCAGCTTTCCCCAGAGGTTTCTCCCCACTGGCTACTACATAACTCAAACCAAGAGGTTATTTACAGGGGTGTTACAGAAGTCATGGAAGTTTGCTGTCTTGGCCCTCACACACCCCCAAAACAAAGAGTCACACTCCCCTTACATTTTGTGAACTCAAAGAAGATTCTGTGCATCTGACTAAGGCCTGACTAAGAAAGAAAACAAGTCTGATACTTCAACAGCTTTGAGCTTATGGATAAATCTACTTCAAAACATATTCCACTAAAACTTTTCTAGCAAGCATCTTTTTCCAGACAGGAAAACTGATCATCAGCTAGTAAGCAAAAGTGTCAAAATAGGAAAGCTGGCACTTTCCAGCTAAATGATCCCAACTCTTCTGTCATCGTCAGCCACATCTCAAGTCCACAAGAGGGACTAACACTCCATTAGGGAATCATAGACTTAGTTCCTCCTGCAGAGTCTCTGGTGTCCCATCCCTCCATATCCAATTCCACAGCACTAAACTAGGCCCTGATGGCAAGCAGGACTTATGAAGGAATGCTTTCTTTACCCTTTCACACAATGACCCAGCTGGTTTTGAGAAGAGGAGACATCACAGCTGCATAAAAGGGAAGGTATCTGCTAAACCAATTATCTGTCACTGGGAGCTCCATCTGGCAAACGCATCAGAGCCCTCCAGTAGGAAAAAAGGGATGGGAGGAAACAAAAATACAAAACCACAGCATCCAACATGTTGCCCTTTGCATTCACTGACTGCTGCCTCCCCATCCAGCCATGGTGAGACAACAGTTCCTTTTAAGTACCAGCTAATCACTGCATTCCAAGGAGCTTCAGGAACACATATGTGAGAAGCATGTGAGGGCAAGAATTAGAGAAACCAGGAGAAAAGAAACATGCTTTTACAAATGAAGACTTGTCTCCAATCAAACCGAAGGTCATTTCCTAGAAAAGGACAAGAGACTACCAGTTCAAGCCAACTGGAAGTCCCCTCATTTCGCTCTCTCACTCAATTTTTGAATTACAAAAACAAGGCAGCAGAATGAAAGAACTCAAGTTAGACCCAGGTTAATAAATACAATGGAGATAAGAGCAACAACCCTCAATGCTATGTTGACACATCCCAACCTTTTGCAATACACGTGTGCCAGCAACATGTTTTCCATCAATGCAGCCTGGGAACGTGATTCTGGGCTTAGGAAACCCACCAACACCAGTAGCTCAAGCACGCAGAGAACTGGACCCTTGAACATGACCAGAGACTCTGAGGCCAGGATTTTAGGCACTGTGAGGTAGCAACTTAGCGGAAAAGCCAAAGTTCCCCCTCTGAAGCAATTTTTAGCCCTGTAATCCCAGTCTTCTGTCCTAAAGCAATGTTTAGCAGTCTAATTCTGATCTTACTTACTCAATTAGCAGTAAGCCATTGAGCCAAGCCTGTTCCAGTTAGTAGCCACATGGTTCAACATCCTTCCCAATATGAAAGAAGTCAGCCCCACAGAAATACACTTTATAATCACTGAGACATTAGCACTCAAAACGCTCCCTAAGACACCTTCATGTCTGTCAAGGGGAAGAAAGACACAAAAGAACTGAAATTGAGGAAGAAACTGAAGAAATCCCAGCCCAGCACCTCAGTCACACAACCCCATAAGGTAAAATCCTCTGCACTGAGTGCCTTGCAGGGAATTGTTGGCTTGGTTGAAACCCCCAGTGGGAGGGTGGGTGCTGAGTGTGCAGCTGAAGGGAGACCCCTGTGTGCAAAAGCCATGCTGGGGAGAGTGTGGGTTATCCAAGAGGTGGTGCTTAGAGAACAATGCTTTCAGGCTTGACATCTCAGTGTGCAGAAAGACATGACAGCAATACTGAAAACAACTGCAACTAAACGGAGCTTATGACTGTTTGAACAAAAATGTGAGCTGGAAGGGGTTTTTTTAAGAAAAACAGGAGAGCAAGGTCCTGATTATGAAAAAACAGAAAACAGCATTTGAGGGAAGCCCCGAGTTACAGCTGCCTGCTCTATCAGTGTTTCATAATCAAGAGGGCAAAGTGAGATTATTGCTAATTAGCAAGTTCAGTCTTTGAAAACTTTCTGGGGTTTTTTTTGTTTTGGGTTCCTTTTATATATGTGTGCATACGTACATACCCAGAGAAGCTTTGAGCCACTTCTGTTTAAAGACATCTGTGATTCTGCTGGACTCGCTGAATCACTTGCACCAAAGGTGGATGTGGAATTGCACTGTGGGAAGGCATGAGCACAGGGTGACCTGCAGTACCACCAGCTTTCCTGGAGATAAGGCCAGCTGAGGGGTCAGCCAAAGAAGATAGGTTTATGTAGCAAGATCCATGATAGATGACAAGTCCTCTTGGAAATATATTTGGGAGGAGAGAAAAGAAGTAACAGAGCTTTAATCCTGTTACTACCAGAAGTGCTATTCCAGGAAAACCGGCTCAAATTCTGTTTGCAATCAGTCTGAGGGAGCAGCTGAATTAGAAGCAGTCAAGAGAGACAACTCCTACAGGGGTCAGCCAACAGCTCTTGATTATTACTAGAACTAGCCCAGTGCCAAATGCAACCCTTAGGAAAGCTTCTAATTGTTTTTTATGGATCTAGTGATTCAGGACACAGAGTCATAGGAAAAATATGAATTAAATTTATATTTCCTTATTGCAGTACATACCACAGGGCAGAGGCAATCCCTAATAGTTAGCTGTGTTTGCTGAGAAAACATTTCATTCTTCTCACACCAACCAATTAATTCAACACCTTTCCCTATACAGATTCACTAAGCCAATATTCCTCAAAAATATTGAATTAATATAGATTAGAATATTAGAATTTTTCATTTTCATTAGGAAACCCACATTCCCCTTTACTCCTATCCCCATCATTGCCCTGCTGGGTGTTGTTATACATAAACCCAAGTACTTCAGGGCTATTGTCCTTATCTGAATTTCAGCTGTGATGACGCAAAGGAGCATCATACAGTTGTGTCCTGAAACACCCTAACATGTCCCTTGCCAGAAAAGGGAGGCCAGCTGCTCCCCCTCTGCTGATTTGTCATCTGCAGTGGCTACAAGGGGCAAGATTGTGGCACTCATGGGAAAAGCCTGAAGGCAGCAGCTAGCTCACATTTCATTTTTAAACTACATCAATCCAGCTTCACATTAGCTTACTGATATAGAGTTTGATTGTTCCCTTTAACAACTGACTTTCAGCTCTATCAGTCAAGCTCAACTCCAAAGTAACCCAGTAACTAAGTCTGTACTGCCTGTCATCCCCTCAACTCTAACCTGAAAAGCATTCAAGCAGCATGTGCTATTTATAACTGTAAACAAACACCCCAGCAGAGCAGCTTGCTGTTACTCTGCCTCTGGAACAGCAGAGCTGAAGATGGATCACCTAAAACTGATGTTAGCTGAGCAGTTGGAAGAGCCTTAACTGCTGCCAAGGGCTCTGGGATAAAACAAAGGCTACTCCAAACCTGTGCAGTCCATGAGGATGAGGACTACTGCAAAGCTTCAATACAGCACAACAGGAGGGGAGACAAGTGGGGAAGAAGGGCCCCTCCAGACCTACATCTGCAGCAGCAGGGCTTTGGCATCAAGGGCACCAGGATGGTCTCCTGTTAAACCACATGTTAGATCATATTGGTATCTATTTGCCAGCCAGTGAAATGATAGATGACCCATGAAGTATTTCAAATGGAAAAAAGCATCTAAGACACAGACAAAAATAGGAACAGAACAAGCTGAATAGGGGGAAGGGCATTCTCAATACTCAACCCAGCAGCTCACCCACAACACTGCAGCTCTCCCCCTCCGGGAGAGCTCTGTGTCAGCACAAAGATCACCTGCGCCAGGGACATTCCCACTCCCTGCCTAGTGCAACAGAAAACAAGATACAAACTTAAAAGGAAAAGTTTTCCAACACTGAGAGGAGACACAGAGACCTGGTGGATGTAGGGACAACACTCTCTGTCCCTGCTGGCAGGAGGTCACGCCCCAGACTGCAGATGCCATAACTTGCCTGGACTAGTGGGGCAGGCAGGAAACTGCAGATCCTCACTAAACCTGCTTCTCATTCAACACCAACAAATGGACTCCTTCCTACACATCAGCAACATTCCTTCCTCCTCATTCCTTACCCAGTTAAGGCTCCAGACTGGCCCAACACACCAACAGCTTTGAAAGGAAACCAACTTGAAGAAGGAAGCACTTTTGCTATTCCCACAGGCCCTTAACAGCCTTATGCCTTGATTGCTTGGGACCACATGACCAAGCTCTTTCAACTAAGATTTTCAGGACAGGAGTCCTGCCAGCCCTGTGTATTATAACCAGGGACCTCATTCCATAACTCCTTAAGTTCTGCTCAGCTCTCTGCTCCAGGGAGGTTTGTGTGATACTCAGCACGGATGTCCCTTTTAAGAGTCCCCTTTTAAGAGTAAATCTTTGCTTTGCTTTCAATGCAGCTGGTTGCTGAACACTGCTGGAATTGACATTATTTCAGTGGTAGATCCCAGTCTGGATGTGAATTTAGGAATAGGATGAATCAGAAGGAATTTATTAGCATGATTTTCCCCAACATTAATTTATCTCGGTTGCCCATCTCTTGCTATTTCAGCTGTTCTGTGCCACATACATGGAAGAGCTATAAGTCAGTCTCTGACAATGAACAGAGGTTTCAGGAGAGCTGTTTAGTGTTCTCCCAGGGCACAAATCCTCAAGCTGCTCCAGCTCAGCATGCACAGCTCCTTCACTTGCCTCTTTTCTAAGTACTGAGAGTAAGCAATGCACATGCTTTCCTGCCTGGCCTCTCCCAGGAGATGATATAGTCCTAATTACAACACAGTCCTGTCACCACCCCAAAAGGAACCCACAAAGCTATAAACAAGAGGCACCAAAACAAGTTTTCGAACTG